CTGATGCCCCTACTAACCTGGAAATAACCCAGGTTTCCTTCTGAGTACAGCAGGTCCTGCCAGCTCTTGAAAACTTGTGCAGCTGGGTGCGGTGGCTCACACCAGTAATCCCAGCACTTTGGGAGGCCAAGGCAGGTGAATCACCTGAGGTCAGGAGTTTGAGACCAACCTGGCCAACATAGGGAAACCCCGCCTCTACTAAAAATACAAAAATTAGCTGGGCATAGTGGTGGGCGGCTGTAATCCCAGCTACTTGGGAGGCTGAGGCAGGAGAATCACTTGAACCCGTGGGCGGAGGTTGTGGTGAGCCAAGACTGCCCCCCTGCACTCCAGCCTTGGCAAAGAGTGAGACTCCATCTCAAAAAAAAAAAAAAATTGTGCAGAAGCAGAAATGCTTGCAGTAGCCAGTGTCCGCTTTGGCCACCACTCACCCAGGACCCAATCGGCTTCGGGAGGGTGGCAGCCTGCTTTCTTCTGAGTTACCCAGCTCCCAGGAAAGCAGAGAGCCTGGCACCCCACAGGGGCTCAGCATGCATGCAGATGAAGTGCCCTCTGGATGCCAGCCCTGCACCACCCGACCTCCATTCAGCTGACAGATGGTCTCCGAGCATGTCCTTTCCCAAGCAGTATCCTGGGAAGAAAGGACGCAAAAGAGGGCTCAGCCTGTGCCTGCGTGTGCTTCCAGAGAGCTTCCTCAGAATGTGCTTTGGGAGAGTAGGGTGGGGAGGCTGAAAAGTAGAGAGTCAAGTCCACAGCAAAAGGGGCCTGCTCGAGAGTGCACAGAGCTGCCGGGAGGCCCCCCAGAGGGACTGAGGAGGCTGCGTCCTGGGCTCCACTGGTTGGGAAGAGGAGAGCAAGAGAGAGGGACAAAGTGACTCCCAGGGTGACGGATGAGCAAGGGGAGAGGCTGGCGTGGTGCATGTGGCGATGGATGAGGGTTGGAGATGTCAGTGTGAACTCATGCAGCTGAACCTAGCTACAGGTGGTTGCATAGGAAAATATTTGTGTATGTGTAGTGCAGGCTTCGTACACACGCTTTCTTTCACTGACCAATGAGGCTCAAGCAGCAATGAACAAACCTAGTGCTCCAGATCTTGATTTCATGAAAGTTGGGTCAGAATCACTTCTGTTTTAAAAACAAAATAGCGTCGCGGTGACTCAAGCCTGTAATCCCAGCACTTTGGGAGGCCGAGGACGGGAAGATCACAAGGTCAGGAGATCGAGACCATCCTGGCTAACACGGTGAAACACCGTCTCTACTAAAAAAATACAAAAAACTAGCCGGGCAAGGTGGCGGGCGCTTGTAGTCCCAGCTACTCAGGAGGCTGAGGCAGGAGAATGGCATAAACCTGGGAGGCAGAGCTTGCAGTGAGCTGAGATCCGCCACTGCACTCCAGCCTGGGCGACAGAGCGAGACTCCATCTCAAAAAAAATAAAAAAATAAAAATAAAACAAAACACTTGGACAAACAGGCCTGAGGAAGGCCCTGAAGAGAAAGGCTCTCATGCATCAATGCCTGAAAACAAAAACAATCAGAAAAGACTGCAAAACGGACTCTCATGGACTCATGAAAAACGAAAAGAAAAAATGAAAATAAAAATGCAAAAAAACACAACGTTGTACAAAGGCCATTGAAACCTACACAAAAGCTACTGTGAAAACCTCTACCCAGCAACTGCCTGTCTAACCTTGGGCTGGCGTTGCTCTTGTTATTGATCTTTGTAGCCAAAGATACATTTTTGGTTTTTTTTTTTTTGAGATGGATTTTTGCTCTTGTCGCCCAGGCTGGAGTTGCAATGGTGCAATCTCGGCTCATCGAAACCTCCGCCTCCCGGGTTCAAGCGATTCTCCTGCCTCTGCCTCCCAAGTAGCTGGGATTACAGGCATGCACCACCACACCTGGTGAATTTTGTATTTTTAGTAGAGACAGGGCTTCTCCATGTTGGTCAGGCTGGTCTCAAACTCCCGACCTCTGGTGATCCGCCTGCCTCGACCTTCCAAAGTGCTGGGATTACAGGTGTAAGTTTCACCATGCCCAGCCAGCCAAATAGAATTATCTCAAAACAATTATGTCATCTTCCTCATTCATTCTGTAAAGGCTTCATCTTCCTTCACCCCCAGCCCCACCCCAGTAATGCACACACAGTTCACTATGGCACACGTATTCCCACTGCAATTCCCCATTCCCAAATAAATACTATTTTTTTCTTGTCAGGCACAGTGGACACGTCAGTCCCAGCACTTTGGGAGGCCAAGGTGGGTGGATCACCTGAGTCAGGAGTTCAAGACCAGCCTGACCAACACGGAGAAACCCATCTTTACTAAAAATAATAAACTAGCCAGGCATGGTGGTGCATGCCTGTAATCCCAGCTACCAGGAAGCTGAGGCAGGAGACTCCTTGAACCCGGGAGGCAGAGGTTGCAGCAGCTGAGATCACAGCACTGCACTCCAGCCTGGGCAACAAGAGTGAAACTCCATCTCAAAAAAAAAAAAAAATACACACACACACACACACACACACACATATATATAAATAAAATTTTCTTTTTTTTTTTTTTTTTTTTTTTTTGAGACAGAGTCTTGCTGCGTCACCCAGGCTGGAGTGCAGTGGCCGGATCTCAGCTCACTGCAAGCTCCTCCTCTCGGTTCACGCCGATTCTCTGCCTCAGCCTCCTGAGTAGCTGGGACTACAGGCACCCACCACTTCGCCCGGCTAGTTTTTTTTTTTTTTTTTTTGTATGTTTAGTAGAGACGGGGTTTCACCGTGTTAGCCAGGATGGTCTTGATCTCCTGACCTCATGATCCGCCCGTCTCGGCCTCCCAAAGTGCTGGGATTACAGGCTTGAGCCACCGCGCCCGGCCTATAATTTTCTTTAAAGAGCCTCTCCTGGGATATCATAGCTGAGATAAATGGTGTCAGAAGTGGGACCTGAAAAGCAGTCACTGTTGGAAGGAAACCGTGGCTCTTAGAACCGGCGATTCCCACCTGAGCTGCTCACTCCTGCCTCTTGCCTTTTCTGCCCTGCTGAATCTTCTCTCAGTCCAGGCCTCACTCTTTTTAGGTGAAGCTCTCCAATTTTTATTCAGGATTTGGTTTGGTTATAAGGTTGCCTTAATAAAAGCCCTTCCATTCCTCCTAGGATCAAAACAGAAAAACAAGTGTCTTTCTTGACAGAACTCAGATTCTGTCTGGAGGTGTGTCTTTTCTGGTAAACTCACTGTTGATCACTGCTCCTAGCTGAATGTTTTACTGATCTACATGCCTGGGTCAAAATTTTTTGCAAATCCTGATTATAGTTTGGTTACACACATGATTTGGCCATTTTCCCTTTTTTGTTTCTAAAAATCTTCCAAGAACAAAAATAAACATTCTAAATGGTGGACACAAGGTGGCTGACCAAAACCACTGTTTAAGTGTCGAAATTCATAATAGGAAAATATGTACTAGGAGATACAAAGAAAAATCCTCAAAGCTGCTGGGCCAGGCACCACCATCTAAAAACACTGGTCAAACTCCTAACATTCTCTGACAGGATTTACAGAATTTTATTTGCTCTAAAGATATTAATAAGAAGCAGAATGGGATTCTTAAATATTAAGACATGCCAAGTTTTCTGGGACTCACACTCATATTATGTTTCCATTCCCTATGCACGTTTTTTAACTGGTGGACAAATTACATCAAGAAAAATTAAGAGCTCACATTATCATTATTCAAACAGTCTCTTCAAAAAGAAAAAAGCCTTCAACTATAGAGCTAATGTGGAGAGCCTTCTAAGTTCTCTATTTTTTTTTCTGCTTACTTCAAATCTGCTGACTTCTCTTTTTTTTTTTTTTTTTTTTTTGAGACGGAGTCTCGCTGTCACCCAGGCTGGAGTGCAGTGACGCGATCTCGGCTCACTGCAAACTCTGCCTCCCGGGTTTATGCCATTCTCCTGCCTCAGCCTCCCGAGTAGCTGGGACTACAGGCGCCTGCCGCCACGCCCGGCTAATTTTTTTTTGTATTTTTAGTAGAGACGGGGTTTCACCGTGTTAGCCAGGATGGTCTCGATCTTCTGACCTTGTGATCCGCCTGCCTCGGCCTCCCAAAGTGCTGGGATTACAAGCATGAGCCACCATGCCCGGCCATCTGCTGACTTTTCTAATGGGTTTGAGATAAAATCACAGTTTAGTATTCCAGTCAATATTTTTTGTAATTATTATAAGAAAGAGGAGTGGATGTGGTAGCTCACACTTGTAAACCCAGCACTTTGGGGAGGCTGAGGGGCAGGAGGATTGCTTGAACCTGGGGGTTTGAGACCAGCCTGGGCAACACAGTGAGACTCCATCTCTACAAAAAATAAACAAAAAATTAGCCAGGTGTGGTGGTGCAGAGCTACTTGGGAGGCTGAGGTGGGAGGATCACTTGAGCCCAAGAGGTGGAGGTTGCAGTGAGCTGAGATTGCAGCACTGGCATTTAGCTCGAGCAACAACAGATTGAGACCCTGTCTCGAAAAAAAAATGAATAAAAATAACAAAGGTTACATCCATGTAACCTTTTTGAAAAACCTTTTTTTTTTTTTTTTTTTTCTTTGAGACAAGGTCTGGCTCTATTGCCCAGGCTGGAGTGCGGTGGAGTTTAGGACATTCACAAGGTGGCGTCTCTGCACAACGTTTGTTGTTTTTTTTTTTTTTTTTTTGAGACGGAGTCTCGCTCTGTCGCCCAGGCTGGAGTGCAGTGGCGCGATTTCAGCTCACTGCAAGCTCCGCCTCCTGGGTTTATGCCATTCTCCTGCCTCAGCCTCCCGAATAGCTGGGACTACAGGCGCCGCCACCATGCCCGGCTAATTTTTGTATTTTTGGTAGAGACACGGTTTTGCCATGTTGCCCAGGCTGGTCTCAAACTCCTGACCTCAGGTGATCCGCCCCTCTCGGCCTCCCAAAGTGCTGGGATTACAGGCATGAGCCACCACACTTGGCCAAAAAATAATTTTTTAATATTTATACTTTTATTATTTTAAAAAATATGGAAGGCTTCACGAATTTGCATGTCATCCTTTGCGCAAGGGCCCTGCTCACCTTCCGTGTCACTCCAATTTTAGTAATTCAGTTGCCGCAGCTGCGCTGTGTAACTATCTCTGTCTTGCTTTCAAAGTCTTTTGATTATCACTTCAGTGAAACAAACGACTATTATTTCACAGTGACCTATGATCACGTTTCTGCTCAATTGTTTTAAACCTTTGACATCTTTAGCAGTTTCCAAGAACAAAATTCTAAATTAAGTTTTTCTGACCTAGGCTTAACTCTTTGATTTTCTAGTTGGGCCCTAGAGAGCCTTAAAAAACTTATCTCATTTTGTAGAGGCATTAAATGACTAGGCTTATTTAGAAAATTATGTGAGAGACACTATCAAATAATAAATTACATTAGACGTTCTTTCAGTTACATTTATGTTATTAATACAAATGTTTTATGTTATTAATACAAATGTTTCATGGCTGGGCTCAAATGTAATTCAAATGTAATTCCAGCATTTGGGGAGGCTGGAAGGGCGGATCACTTGAGGTCAGGAGTTCAAGACCAGCCTGGCCAACATGGTAAAACCCCATCTCTACCAAAAATACAAAAATTAGCCAGGCGTGGTGGCATGCACCTGTAATCCCGGCTATTCAGGAAACTGAGGCAGGAGAATGACTTTAACCCAGGAGGCGGAGGTTGTAGTGAACCGAGATCGCGCCACTGCACTCCAGCCTGGGCGACAGAGTGAGACTCCGTCTCAAAAATAAATAAATAAATAATGTTTCAAAATTGTATAAAACTTGCACCCAACATCATTAGTCAGTACTTTAGCTGTCATAGTAAATCTTCTTTAAAGTTATATTTATAAAATATTTTAATGTGAATATCCTACAGATTATGTACAGCTTATCAGTCTGACGGTCCACGTGAACCGTAGAGATTCGGCCATTCCACACTCTTCATTTACAGCGATCTGCAGTGTTGAGAGAGGCTCCAGCCATCACACTCACCATAGGCAAGTCCCCTAAAACCTGATTTCCTCTGCCGGGTGTGGAGTCACACCTGTCATCCCAGCATTTTGGGAGGCCAAGGTGGGTGGATTACTTGAGGTCAGGAGTTCAAGACCAGCCTGGCCAACATGGTGAAACCCCGTCTCTACTAAAAATACAAAAATTAGCCAGGTGTGGTGGTGGGCACCTGTAATCCCAGCTACTCGGGAGGCTGAGGCAGAAGAATCGCTTGAACCTGGGAGAGGGAGAGTGTAGTCAGCCGTTCGCACCGCCGCTGCCCTCCAGCCTGGGCAACAAAGCAAGACTCCATCTGAAAAAAAAAAAAACAACAACAACAACAACAAAAACAAAACCTGATTTCTGCAGCAAAAATGAAATGACTCAAGAAATTACTACACTGGCAGAGAACAAAGAGGGTGGGAGAAGGATGTTTCACACAAGTCACACAAGGCCAGGCTCAACGTAGAAACATGAAAAAACACAGTATCTGAGGCCAAACTAACCAGGAGCAAGTCCTAGCGACAGCATTCACTAGATACAAAAACTGTGGGCACGGCGCGCTTTGTTATTGTTCTATGATAAAACCCCAGTGAGGTCAGCACAGCGGCTCGCGACTATAATTCCACCGCTTAGGACGGCCAAGGTGGGAGGATGGCTCAAAGCTAAGAATTCGAGACCAGCCTGGGAAACATAGCAAGACCCCAACTCTAAAAATAAAATTTAATTTAAAAGTAAAACAAAACAAAACAAAACTTGGCCAGGCATGATGGCTCACACCTGTTATCCTAGCACTTTCTGAGGCCGAGGTAGGTGAATGGCCCAGGAGTTTGAGACCAGCCTGACAATGTGGCAAAAGCCCATCGCTACAAAATTTTTAAAAAAAAAAAAAAGAGCAGGATGGGTGGTGTGCGCCTGTAGTCCCAGCTCCCTGGGATCCCGAGATCGCGCCACTGCACTCCAGCCTGGGCAACAGAGTGAGACTCTGTCTCTAAAAAAAAAAAACAAAAAAGACAGGTTTTTCTTTTTTTGAGGCGAGGTTTCGCTCTTGTTGCACAGGCTGGAGTGCAGTGATATGATCTCGGCTCACTGCAAGCTCCACCTCCCGGGTTCAAGCGATTCTCCTGCTTCAGCTTCCTGAGAGTAGCTGGGACTACAGGTGACCCCTACCTCACGCCCGGCTAATTTTTGTATTTTTAGTAGAGACAGGGGTTTCGCCATGTTGGTCAGTCTCAATTCCTGACCTCAAGTGATTCACCCTCCTCGGCCTCCCAAAGGGCTGGGATTACTTACAGGTGTGAGCCTGCCGTGCCTGACCTTTTTTTTTTTTTTTTTTTTTTAAACACTGGGTCTCATTCTGTCACCCAGGCTGGAGTGCAGTGGCACAATCACAGCTCACTACAGCCTTGACCTCCCAGGCTCAAGTGACCCTCCCACCTCAGCCTCCTGAGTAGCTGGGACCACAGGTGTGCACCACCATGCCTGGCTAATTTTTGTACTTTTTGTAGAGATGGGATCTCACCCTGTGGCCCAGTCTGGCTAAAAGCAGATTTTAAAGAGCAGTAGATGTTTTTAAAACTTAATTATGTCAGGTCTTTTGAACCAAAGTCCTCCCTTCTCCAGGTTTCTCTAGGTCATCCAGCACTTTGGTTGTTTGGTTAAACTGTCTTCATCCAGCTCCTCAGCAGCTGAGCCCAGGCTCCTTGGCCCCACAGGCAGCTGCCCGCACTCACTGCTCCACCTCCCGCAAGGCCTCCCCAGCCTCCCTTTTAAAACTACCTGTAGTTTTTTTTTTTTTTTTCTTTTTTTTTTTTTTTTTTGAGACGGAGTCTCGCCATGGCCCAGGCTGGAGTGCAGTGGCCAGATCTCAGCTCACTGCAAGCTCCGCCTCCCGGGTTCACGCTATTCTCCTGCCTCAGCCTCCTGAGTAGCTGGGACTACAGGCGCCCGCCACCTCGCCTGGCTAGTTTTTTTTTTTTTGTATTTTTTAGTAGAGACGGGGTTTCACCGTGCTAGCCAGGATGGTCTCGATCTCCTGACCTCGTGATCCACCCGCCTCGGCCTCCCAAAGTGCTGGGATTACAGGCGTGAGCCACTGCCCGGCCTAAACTACCTGTAGTTTAAAACAGTTTGGTAAAGTGAACTTTTTTGTAACAAAGATGAAAACGTTTGCTTTTTCCTCCTACTGTTTTCCAAAAATTCAAACTATTTGTGAGTCCTCTTAGGACAATATGATCATTTGCATTGGTCCAATTAAACTCCATTCTCTCTCTCTCTCTCTTTTTTTTTTTTTTTTTAAGATGGATTCTCACTCTGTTGCCCAGACTGGAGTGCAGTGGCGCGATCTCAGCTCACTGCAACCTCTGCCTCCCGGGTTCAAGTGATTCTCCTTCTCAGCCTCCTGAGTAGCTAGGATTACAGGCACCTGCCATGGCAGTCGGCTAATTTTTTTAGTTTTTAGTAGAGACAGGGTTTCACTATCTTGGCCAGGCTGGTCTTGAACCCCTGACCTCAGGTGATCCGCCCACCTTGTCCCCTCCCAGTCCTGGGATTACAGGCATGAGCCACTACGCCTGGCCCCACATGGTCAAGGCATTGACTAAAATGTGATATTTGAAAATGTACACAGGGCTGGGAGCCCTGTAACGTCCTCTGAGCTGGCTACACCGTGGTCAAGCCATCCTTGACGCTTCCCACTCTTGTGATAATGTACATTATGATATTCCCAGTTCTTGTGAATGTACTTTGTAACATTCCTCCCTGCCCTGGTGACAATACACCGCCCTATGAATGTACCATGTAACATCCATCCCCTGCCCGCAAAAAATTGCTCCTAACTCCACCGCCTATCCCAGACCTATAAGAACCAATGATAAGCCCACCACCTTCGCGGACTCCTTTCTCAGACTCAGCCCCTTGCACCCAAGTCAATAAACAGCCTTTTTCCTCACACTAAGCGTTCAGGTGGCCTCTTATACAGACAATGCACGTAACACCTACATTCTTCTAGATTCATCTAATCTATCTTTCTTCCACAGAATTACTAAAAATGGAAACGTTTCTGTTCCTGGAAGTCCTATCAGCTAAAACTAGATGAATTCTCCAAAAGCAGACTTGCATCTGATGTGTGGGCCACACAAAAAGTTCACAGTACCCCCCAATGCCATAATCAGAGACATTCAAACTGCAAACCAGGTTGCGAATCGGACGTTGCGGCTGTAGACGGCTTTCCCCGGATGCCAGCACAGGACTCCTGTCACGACAAGCGTTTCACTCATCTCAGTGCCCACCTCTTAAATGTCAAGCATGACACTGGTGTCGCTGAAATCTTCACGATCCACGGCTTCTGCTGGCAACTCCACAGAAGCTGACCCCAGGAGATCCCTTAGTCCCCCGCTGGTTATGAGGAAATGTCCAAAGGTTGCTGACACCACGTGCTGCACCTGGAGAAACTCCTCTGGGAAAGCTGAGACCTAACATGCACAAAATAAGAAAACAGGTCACAGGGTCTCACGGTCTCACTCACCCCTGTGGCCATCTTGATTTATTCCCCCTGGTTGCCTTTTACACCTGGGTTCATGACTCAAAGCCATTATGCAAACTGGGATTGCTACATTACTATTAATTTCACCTTGTGTTTCCCCTTTTTGTTTTAAGCGCTCATTCCTGTTAAATTTGAAGTACAGCTCCTAGCAGAATCATGCTGGCCCAATGTCAAGATGATAAGAGACTCCAGCAGAAAAAATTGAACTCAGTAACGGGCCCCGGGGACTTAGCCCAGGAACCACGCCTCCAAACCTCCCCTTATTGCTCAACTGTGGCTAAAAGGGTTTTGACATTGACTCCTAGTCACCACCCACAGTAACCTCACCCAGTGTGTGGCAAGACCAGCAACCAGGACATCCCCGGGAAATCAAAACCCAAGTACATAAGGCCACGCAGGCTCACACCTGTAATCCCAGCACTTTGGGAGGCTGAGGCGGGCAGATCACCTGAGGTCAGGAGTTTGAGACCAGCCTGGCCAACATGGTGAAACCCCATCTCTACTGAAAATACAAAACTTAGCTGGTATGGCATGGTGTGCCTGTAATCCTTG